GAAGGGGGAAGGAAGTATGGTGGAGGAACTGAAGGGGGAAGGCAGTATGTTAGAGGAACTAAAGGGAGAGAGAAGTATGGTGGAGGAACTGAAGGGGGAAGGAAGTATGTTGAAGGAACTGAAGGGGGAGGGAAGTATGGTGGAGGAACTGAAGGGGGAGGGAAGTATGGTGGAGGAACTGAAGGGAGAGGGAAGTATGGTAGAGGAACTGAAGGGGGCTGGAACAGGTTTGGCAGAGGGGTGGGATTGGGAAGCTTAAACTTGGTTGGAAAAGGTGAGGGGAACATGGGTTTAAGGGGATGAACTGCAGGAGATGAGTGCATGTGTGTTTTAAGGTGCCTTGTGGGGTAACCGAAGAACAGGAAGTACACCACAGGGAACAAGCGTCGTCCTTGTGGAATATTTAAATGGTTCCAAATGGCACCTTACAAGAATTTCACGAAATAGATTGTTGGAATTTACTCAAAACAGAGGAATTTCCCAAGGTATACTTTTCTGTCGCAAATTGAAGTGCTGTACATACTGGACATTTGGTTGAAGTATCATCCAAGGAAAGATACCCTGGCCTAGTTTAAACAGGAGCGATTTGTAAACTGCGCTTCATGCACTGATTGTTTTTAGTACACAAGAACAAAGGAAATACCCCCATAAGAAGAGGGGTGGGCGGGTGTGTTGAGGTGTGGGAGGACTGTCTTAGCATGACTGGCAATTGGGCTTAAGATGGGAAACTGGGCTGGTTAGGAGGAAACAGTGGGGAACTGCCTGGGTGGGAAGCAGTGCGAAATTGAGATCATGGAGGGTTCTCTGAGGGGGGACATAATAGTAAAAAGAGGGGTGCTTAAGAATACGGGCGTTTCACAATACTGCGCCTCCAAGAGTTTGCAACTCATGGGCCAATCACAATGCGCGACTTCTATTGACCCACTGCGCGTTTGGAAAGGGTCAACAAATTTTGTGCGTTGTGATTGGCCAATGTGTTTCAAACTCTTGGAGGCGCACTATTGTGAATCGCCTGTATTAGAATCATGCTACATTGTATGTTTTTTTAAGGAGTCTGAAGATAGAAGCTAGTGTCGAGAAGGAAATAGTTTGAGCATTCCAGGGAATAGGGGAAAGGATATCTTTGTGATCCTTTGGGGGATTTGAAGATTGAATTGTAGTTCCAAGGGGAACTGGCGTTACACGTACCTACTTTTCACATCTTCCCAGGAACAAAATCTTTTGAAGCCGCCAGCGTTGGAGGCCACAGGGGGACACAGCAACTTCAGTCGGCGGGCGTCGGACGGCGGCGCTAACATGTACTTACACTTGCAACAGTTCCAGAACCAGTTTCTCAGCAAGAGAACCAGCCAGCCGGTCAACGTAGACCCGACTGGACAGGTAAGGGCTAGGAGGATGAGACATTTTTGTTCATGGGTTGGACTTGGGGATGTCCGACGTTGCGATCTTCTCTTGCCATTTTTCCATGAAGAACCTTCGTAAACTCTGCGAAGCTCCATCTCGGTATGGGCAGTCCTCAGTACAATGCACCACTAAGACAATGACTTGGAGACGCCTGCTTTGTATCGGAGTTGATAAACTTTATTTATTGACTGCACGTGGGGAGCTGGAATTATTCCCAGTGTTTGTCGCGGTGTGAGATTTGTGAGCATTATTTTGAGTATCAGCTTATATTAATCAAGACTGTGTTTTTATGAGGTGTCAGGAAAATAAAACGAAGTATGCAGAGATAGTGCCCAATGCTTGTCAACCATAAACATGAATAATGGCCTCTCTTCAGGAATCCCTTGTTGGGCACTGTATCTGCCTCGAGCAGAAGGACCCCCCTCATCGGTTGGAAAGAGCCGCGTTGGTCAGGAGTGGTCAATTTGTTGGTAGCCATGCGACAGTGATGCGTGCATTAACTAGTTGTTTGTGAACCAGCGAAGTTCAGTTTTGACCAAACGAGCGTCCATTGCCAAGAAAATAGCGCTCTCTCTTGATCCATCTCGACACCCGTTGTGAATCGTCCATACCCCTATTTCATGGTATTAGAACTTCTAAGAGGCATCAAGCCATTTGCGGACTATTACGTGTAATTGTGGCTGGTCCCTACCTTGCTCAAGGTTTGCACAAGTGGATTTTGATACAGTGTGGCTTTCAACGCCCTGTAGTCACTACAGTCATAGTAAGGTCAATGTTTGTTTCCCTTCAGAGCTCAGGGGAATCAGTACAGCAGAGACTACCGCCGGTCTCGGCGACCGGCGTACCCGAGGAGGCAGAGAATTCAGACGAAGAGGAGCCCGACCAAGAAGAGGTTCAAAGGTCAGTCAATCGGCTTCAGCCCGTTACGTTGGGCTGTGCTCGAAGCTGGAACATGTAGACGCAGTCCAAAGTCAGCTAGCAAATGGTTGTCTTATTGACCCCTCGTGAGTTGTCAACTCCTAAATAGTTACGCATATCACAGATTGGAGCCATGTCCTACATTTGCACAGGTGAATTAAACTCATCAAACTTCTCAGCCTAACAACTGTCTTAAAGTTATAGCCACCAAAATACTGACATGCAACTTTTACACACTACTTTACAACTTTTACTTTTACAACTTGTAGCACCTAATTTCTCTTTTAAGTACCTGGGAGGTTCCTGGATCTTGGATATTACATCCTCCCACATGTAAAGACTCTACATGATGTTTTACTGGTGACGATTGCCTTTCCTAAAATATTGCAAAAAGTCTTGTCAAACTTAGAACTTTCTGCATGATGAAAACACATCGGAATACAATTTCAGAAGCCTTGAGGACATTGATTTTCCTTTTGTGTGAAGCTTGGTCTCTGGTGGTCTTGATTCTGTTTCTTGCCCCAGGTATTTAAGGAATAGAGGAGGCCGCTTCAGGCACACGTTGTGTTCGGAGGCACCCTCGCATGACCTGCCGGAGGAGGTGCGGCGGAACCTGCTGCAGCAGCCCATCAACACCCCGCCGCGTTCGTCTCGCCGCGAGCGTTTCCACGTCCCACCCGACCGCAACCCCCACCTGCGGGACATGAGCCTCTACCCGCCGGCCAACTACGTCTACACCCGCCGGGCCTCGGATGGCATGCCCAACTTGCACGCCTTCAAGGCCCACCTGGAGCGGGTGGCTGCCGGGGCGGCGGCCTCGAGCGGGGCCGGGGGTGGCGGCAGCAGCTCGGGCAGCCAGAAGAGCTCGCTCAAGCAGCTGCACAAGGAGTACCACCAGCTGCAGAAGCAGTGCTCACCGGTGGACGCCAAGCTGCAGGAGCTGCAGCAGGCCCAACACCAGCTGCACAAGGAGAAGATGCTGAACCAGGTAACCCCGGCAACTGCCTCAGAGGATGAGGAAGCAAAGAGGCGGAGAGAGGAGGAGGAGGAGGACGACGAAGTGTTCCTCCAGTACCACAGCCGCTTCAGTCGGCGGGGGAGGGCCGCGGTAGTGCCTCCATCACCCCAGACAGTATGTGATGGTGACGATGGGTGCACCCAGGGTATTACTTGTAGGTCTCTCTCACCCGCCCCTAACCCATTTGGCATTGATACATTTGGGCTTCCACACGTCATAGGAAGAGAACACATGTCGCTCACACAAGCTGATAATCATCATAAGCTGGATTTCACATTGGGTCTGCCGGGCATTAAAACCATCAATCCGCTTTCAAAACACAATACCATAATTTAAAGTCATGCTCATCCACAAGTAAGAGACTCATTCTTAATGTCAAATACAAAGTCGAAAATTCCACTTTCATTTGCAAGCTTTTACCTGGCCGCCCAGCGGAAACCATTCTGAAGCCCATTCAGATTGTTTCTGTGTCTGCGTTTCAGCAGACGCCGTGCTTTGGAAATCGCACTTTCAATCTGCCATTGTACTCACCCAAAGATTCATATCAATTTCAAAGATGGATTTGCACTGGGGATTAAATTAATTTTGGATTTTTAAAAAACTGTCATCCCTGGCACAAATCCATCTTTGAAATAGTTGTTCGCGGTACCCGCTGCTACTTCTGATTCGAATCAGCCAGCCGACACCAGCAAGCTCGGTGGTCGAGTGGTTAAGACGTCTGCGTTAGTAAGCAGGAGGTCCTGGGTTCGAATCCCACCTGAGAATGCGTTTGTTTTTTTCACAAGCCTTCGGGGGCATACACTGAGAAGACAGTGTTAAAATACACGTCGGGCGGGGCAAAAATCCAAAATTAAGATTAATATCAGAAGGTCATGAAAAAGTTCAGTCCGTTTCCTGCTGACAGGGACCTTTCGCCAGACATCTCATTTACATCAGTGTCTGTTGTACACTCATACTTGATATTGCCGTCATCTCTGCAAAGTCAGTTTGATTACAAGCACAACCTTCTGTACATGAAGCCAATCAAAGATGTTTACTTCCACGCGTACTATGCCGAGTAGCCGCAGAAGTTTACCGCACGGAATCTGTTGTCCACATTTCAACTGTTCTGGCCAGCCTCTGGTGGATGTTTACCATGCCTCTCTTACATTGCGCAATATTCCTTTGTCCGTGGTGCAAGCTTTTACACAACTTATTGGTTAAAGAATACCCTTCTAGCGGTACACTAATACATCATTAACACTATAAAGTGGTGGATTTGTGAACTCTTGGTGGCAGCAGACATCCTGGTGTTGTGGTACTGCCGGACTGACGTTTTAATGAGCGGAGGTGTTCTTTTCCAGTCTTGACAGACATGCTTTTTTTTTAATCCAACTATTTGTGAAATTGAGGGGTTACAGTTAAAAAACGAGTCGGTTGCTATTTGGTGTCATGCTTTAGCAGCAAACAAGTGGTTATGGTTTGTGTGGTGTCACTTGAAACAAAAGTGACACGTCACTGAGACGGAAGACTTGAAGTGAAAACTCGGCAACGCTTACGTTGGCTCTCCTGGTGTGTCTTATCGCGAGGTTATCATCGCCGAAAGCAGCTTCTATCAACTGATAGTATCAGCAGGCACTGGTGTGTCGCTGTTGTGTTATCTTAGTGACAAGTATCACTGAACTGAAGGCTTGTACGCTGGTTCTTGATCTGGCAGCAGACATCTGGGCCCTCCCATTCGAACTGCTAAATGAGATTCTGAAATTCTGACGCGGAACTTTTTGGACAACATGGATCGCATTACATGTACATGTAGAAGCCACCTGTTGGGATGGTGTCCAGGGGAATCACACGCCCCACAGGGATAAACTGTAGGTATACAAAACAACACGGATAACATCACAGTACATGTACATAAGAATAGCAGAATGTTATTCTGAAGAATGCGTGTGTACCAACAATGGAGGAAAGACTGGCTCATTCACGAGTGTGTTGTACCTGCATAGATTCACATGTTGGCCATATCCTTCATCGCTGAATGCTCAGGACAGGTGATATGCATGGCATACCAAGCACTCTACTGTGGAAGTTTTGGATGCGGGAGGCGCACCAAGATCGCCCAGACAGGCAATTAAGTGAGCCCTCTTTTGTCTCGGGTTGCATTGATTTATATAACAGGTGTTGCCCTTACCCAACATATATTGGTAAGCACTGTATGCCCAGTGCTTGTCCGAGAGCTTGCGCAAAAAACCTCATAAGCTTACTCGGGTGGGACTCGAATCCACGATCTCCTGCTTACTAGTGCAGATGTCTTAACCACTCGACCACCAAGCTTGCCGGGGTTGGCTGGCCGGTCCGAGTCAAATGAAGCAGTGGGCACTGCATCTTGAAAACGGGTTGCATTGGTTACCACGTTGCTTTTCCTCTGACATTGGGCTTACCAATGTTAGACAATCAGTATTAAAACAGATCCTTTCTTTGTTACACACATACATGGACACCCGCTTACCTAACATACCTAGTGAGGACATTCCTTTATTTTTGTGCAGTTAAGAAAACTTAGTGAAAATACTCCCTTTTCTTGAACTGGGAACATGGTTTCCTTGGCTGTTCCTCTTCCTTTTATGACAGATGACCCCAACCCCCAAATGTCTCTAAATTTCTTTTTCAGAGAAGGGAAACGTCCTGTGGACGTGTGTAAGTCCACAGAATGTCCTTTCCTGCACTGTGTGGACATCTTTTGTTCATAAGTCCACACTAGGTATGTAAGGTTAGCGCAGCATTACTGCGCATGCCTCAGGTGTGCATGTTCCAATATTTGAAGTCCCTGTTGGCTCTTTAGTCTGTGTTTACAAAAGAAAGGACTGCCTAGCATGACCTCAGACGATAAACATGCATTCAAAATTCAAGAGCAAAGTACAGCAAGGAACAACTTTTCAAATCGTCTTTCTTCTTTCTAATAACATTGTACCCATTTCCGTTTGAAGGTTGCCCTTTCAAAAAAACATACACACAATTACAGATGTTACCCTTTTTGTCCAACTGCCACAGAAAAGTAATTCAACAAATGAAGAATGGAACAACTAGGTCTTATAAATGATTATGAAGATGAACAAAGAAATTGACTGGAGCGGGATTTCAACCTGCGGCCTCTGGAACACCGCACTGGTGCTCTACCAACTGAGCTACCCAGCCCTATGTTGGTGGCTCTTCCCATTTGTTAATATCTTTGTTTGGAGGGTGCTAGCCAGAAGCCATGTAGCCAGGGATCACACCCCAATAACACAATACAACCTGGGAAGTGGTGAACTGGGATCACTCAGAGAGGATATGGCTTTTTGTTAGAGCACCAGTACGGCATCCTGGAGGCTGCAGGTTCAAATCCCGCTCCAGTCAGTTTCTTTGTTCATCTTTGTAATCAAATGAAGAATGGAACAGATTCGAAGCACACGGTGTCAGGTGCTTGAAAACCATACACGTTTTCTAACTGAAACAACTTGCATGTCTCGACACCCGAAACCAGACTACAATATTCTGTGCATGTTATTCACCCAAAAATGCATCTTGTATTTTGTTGCATGATGTCAATTGGGATGCGCTTATTTTGAAGGATGTCTTGAAGGCAACTTTGCTGAAGACTTTGAGAGACACCTGTATGAAGGAAATTGGATATTTTATGCATGTGCATTTTGCTGCAAAAGATTTACCAAGATAAAACCAAAGAAGCAAACAAAAGTCATGTTTGAGTTACTAGACCCCGGAGCCATGGGCGGACATTAATCTGTGGTGTACATACCATCAGACAAAGTGAGTATAGAGTCTTGTTGGTCTGATCAGGTGAAAAGTTGGTTAGATGGACACTCACAAGTATCCTTCAAGGACACTCTACTTTGGGGAATGAACACAAGATATTTATGACAGATTTTCACCAAGACTAGCTTGATTATTCATGGTCTAAGGGTTGTCAAGAAGCATTTTCTTATGAGTGATATACAGGCACTCCTATTGGACTGCCCAGAGTGCCACCAACCAATAACAGCAGACTGTCCAAAATGGTCTGCTAACATCTCATCTCGATGGGATCCACATTCAGAAATACTTGACACACATCATGTGCCGGCAGCGCCCCGGTTTTCTCTGGAGCGTGTACATACATGCGACGCACCACCATCGTCACATCACCATACTCATGGGAATCCTTGCTTCCAATTCTCTCCGCCCCTGCGCTGTCATTTCCATGTCTTCAAAGTAGATATAAAGCACAGGCACCGCGGATAGAGTGCCAAAGTGGACATGTCACGTGTGTAAAAGGCATTAGCCTGAGAACCAGCACATGAACCAACACTCCCATGTACACGTACTCCGTTTGTTTGCTTCACACTTCCTGGCTCACATGACATCATGCTTTGGTACTCTTGCCATAGGTGCAGATGGGTGACGTGACTGTGACCTTGACACGTGCATTGTGGGAAAAAAATCTTGAATGCAGATCAGTGGTTGCATTCCTTGTCTGATTGGACAATTCTGTGTTAATGCTTGATATTTGTGTTGAAATATCCCAAGACCGAAACGTGACGTTACATGTTTATCACCACATTAACCAGGTCGGTATTACCATAACCAGTGTTGTAGTTAAGACCACTACAAGACCATTCACAAGACCAGTCACAAGTAACAGGGAGAACAGTGACAAAGGAATGCTTTTGTTGCAGATCATTTGAATAGCTGGTGACTTGAATTCAGACTGGAGGCCTTGTGTTGGTCTTATGCGGGTCTTGTGAAATTTTTTAAGTGTTCTCAGCTACAACACTGACCATAACCAGTCGTATTACTGGTATTTGCCTACATGAATAGTATGGTGGATTACCAGTGTTTTATTTGAGTCCATCACAAGTCCCTGCCAGTACGTCACAAGTCCATCACAGGTCTTGAGCCAATTTACAATTTATTCAAATAAACTGTGACAAAAGCATTCTTTTGTCATTGCTCAC